CGGCAAGACCTGCACCTGGACTACCAGCGCAATCGTGTAAGGACCGTATCAAGATTAAGGCTGATGGAATGTTTGTTTCTCTCTTGAATGGTACGATTCTTTGGTTCCTTCGTATCGAGGTCATGCATTTCCACGGTGTAGGGTTTTGATTGAACGATCTCTCTCTGTGGGTGTCTCACGCGGAGGTGTGAGGGGTACGTTCGCTGTTCATTTGCCCCCCCTTCTCCCACCCGCTCCCATTGGTGCACGCCCCGAAACTCCAGGATCCCGTGGACAAGGCAAAGCTGGCGGACACTATCGAGAGAGGATGGAACCGCAGGAGAAACGCTATCGAAAAGGAAGAGAGGGGTGCCGCGAAGCTGACCGGAGAAGGGACAATGACTCAGGAGGAGGAGAGCGAGCTGTACGCGAGGGACTCTGAGGTGCGCGGATGGTACTTAGGGAGGTGGGGTTTACCAGTCGGGTGGTCGAGGGGAGCTGTGCCTCGTCTCTGTGTGTCGGGGGATAGATTGGTGGCCCGTGTCAAGAATCCGGACTCAAAAAACTGTGCACAAAAAATGGGTTTGGGTCAGACCCCACCCCCCGCCCGCGATTGTAAGCACGTGCGTGCGGGAGGGAGTTTTAATTTTTTATGTTTGTTTTTTTTCGTCTCTCCGTGTGGCTGTACCCCTCCTAAGCGAGAAATTAATTGCGGACTCACGACGTGTCCCCTCCCCCTGGGAGATCGTGGACGCACCTTTTACTTTTGTTTTTTTTTGTTAATTTGTTGTTGGGTGGGGTAGCTCGACGCCCCCGTAATCTTCCAACGCAACAACGGCGTAAGCCGAAAAAATGGTGGGGGGACATCACGAAGGGGGCCCACGTGCAACAATGCCGACAGACTCAACGTTGGCGTTTGGTTGGTGAGTGGAGCAACGCGCCGTATCCTAACTCTGTTTCTATTTTTTTGTTTTTTTTTGCATCCGTGGCTCATGCCTACATCGCCTGCGTTTCCGCTCCAGAAGTACCAGCTCATATCGTCCATCAAGCTACAACAAGCTGCAAAGGAGCAGGCGATGGCGGGGGACGTCGCCGCGAAGGAGCAAGTAGCGGCCGCCAAGGCCGAACGTGACCGCGCTGCCTACGGCGGAGGTTCTTGGAGGTCCTCCGCGCCCTCAGCAGGCGGAGGCAGGGGCGGTCTCTCTGCTCGCGGGGGGAGGGGAGTCGCCGCAGGCGGCGGCTCCGCCACCGGCTCCGCCCCTCGCAGAGCTCCTGCCACAGGACGGGGCTCTGCTGGGGGGGGGCGTGGTCTTGGTTCCACCGCGGGTGGGCGAGGCACGTCCTCGGGCGCGGGAGGCGCGGTCGGACGTAGGCATGTCTCCGCTAGGGGTGGACGCCCCAGAATGGGGGCTGGGGCTGTACGTGGTTGCGGCGCACGCGGCCGTGGGCGCGCCTCATCATCAGTCGGCTTATTCGATTTGGACGGCGTTCTGAATGACGAACAGGCAGAAGACTACTTCGCGCGGAGGGGAAACAGTGGTGGGATAGACGACGTGGAGGAGCTAGGGGAAGATCCCGAGGACCCCCGGGGCGAGGACGAGGACTTTGGTGGCGGCGGGCAGGGGGACTACGACGATGGCGACGAGTCTTCTGCCTCAGGGTTAGTGCATGGGGATGAAGGCAGCGACGGACAAGGCCAGTTCGAGCTCGACGACGAGGAGGCGACGGAACTCTCCGCGGGCAAGGCGGGTCGGAAGGTGCGCTCCGGGAGGGGGGGAGGCGTGCGAAAGCAGAAGTTTCGCGGAACCCCAGGTGGCGTCTCGGGTGGTAGCTCGGAGATAATGGACTTGATGAAGATGGCTGTGACCAAGTTGGTGGACAGACCGAACCCTCAGCAGCAACCGCCCGCGCCCGCCGAACTCGATGCGCTTAGGGCACAGGTTGCGCACAACACTCAGCTCGCGCAACGCAGTCACGACATGGCCGAGCAGAGTCTGCAGCAGTCCCAGCAAGGGTTGGGGTTGTTGCAAAGTATTGCGGCCAAAATCGGCGTGGGACAGCCAGGAGGACATTCAGGGGGGGCGGCGACAGCTCCTTGGGCGCCGCCGCCGACTACTCCGGTGGCACCTCAAGCTACCGCTGCCGCGGCGACCTCATCACCGCGGCCGCCGCCGCCAGCTCCGGCGCCAGCTGCCGCCGCAGCGGCGTCCCCGGCGGGTGCCCCACCTGCGGTGGGAATACCCCCTCCCGCTGTTCTCCCAGGTTTTTCGCGAGAACAGGGGGCTAGGCAGCAGACTCCAGTAGCGCGGGTGGGTGCGGGCGGGTTTAGGGGGGCGCCTTCGGGAGGCCGGGTGACTGGGGGGCGTGGAACGGGAGGCGGTCGAGCCCCGGATGCTGGCGGCAATGAGAAGCGTCCTGTCGGGGTTAGGCGGGGGGGCTTATTCCGGAGGCCAGAGCGTGGGGGGCGGAGAGCTGGGACAGGGATTAAGAGCGGCAGTTCGAATTTCGTGCAGCCGGCTTGGAGACCAGTCTAGAGCTAGGTGGTTCATCTGCCTCCCCTCAAAGGTACTCTGGCGTCATCTTTGTCCTTCGTGTCTTGTGTTTTGTCTTTTGTCCGTCTGCCAGTGTGGTGTATTGAAGCGCTTTCGGAGAGTGTGTACGATGGAGGAGGTGCCTGCGTGCACTATATCGGGTCGTCGGTTGGACCTTGCGTGTCTTCGTTTTCTGGGATTGCCAGATGGCGTCCCCCCCCCCCCCCCTGCGGCTTGGGCCCAACGGCGTGCGTTTCGCGTTTCGCGTTTCGCTGCCATGTTTGTTTCTCTCTTGAATATCCCCTCTATGTGCGCTACCCTGCAGCTATTTTCCGCTCGTCGGCGTTCGCTTGCTGTCGTCTTTGTAGGGTAGTGCGAACGGATTTTGACTACAAAGGACGCCTCTTGCGCGCTCCAGCCTTATCGCCCCACCTGTTGCTTAGTTGGACGTGGGCGTTCCCACACCTGCGTCCTCGACATTCCTGTTCCCTAATGCGTGTTTTCTTTGTGTGTTAAGGGGAGAGTCTCCTGGAGACCCTGAATCTCCCGCCCCACCCCCCAGCCCACCCCCAACATACACATACCGGCTGTTGCCCCTGCGGCGTGGTTGCCGGATTTTTTTTTTGGTGTTGTTGTGCCTCGGGGGGAGCGGCTATAACGTCATCCTGCCTTCATCCATGGCTCACGGCTGACTCTGTTACTCGGTTGGAATGGACTGGCTTCGCCCCCGCCCACCCCCCACTTCTTGCGTTTATGTTTCTATTTTTTTCCCCATTGTAATGTTTGCGTTTGTCTTCCTGTCTTTCGTTGTCCTTTCTTCTACGATGTTTCTGTATTTTAGCTCGCTGCCTTATGCCGGTGGCGGATGTACCATCAGACATCTGCGCTCTTTGCTTCATGCCGGCAATAGCTTCCCCAGTGAAGAGGTCACTACCGACATGAAACAAACATCACACATGTCTACCGCTACTCCGTCACTGCATGGTACCGTGGGTTGCTTGCGTCCTGTATTGTTTCTTTCGTTTTCGCCTTGGTGTTTCTGCACTTCTTAGCCATTGCTGTCTTCCGATTGTGGAGTAGCGGTAGACATTTGTAATCTTCGCTTCATGCCGGCTATGGTTGCTCCGATGAGACGCTACTACCGACGCGAAACAAACGTCACGTATGTCTACCGCTACTCCGGCCCTGCCAATTGAGGGCCGCAAGAACAACCCGCCGCCTCGTGGTGGACGTAGGGCATGCAAATTTTCGTTCGTGGCTGCCTCGGTTTGAGTCTGTCCCTTGCTTGTTGTTGCTAGACGGGATTCGGGTTGTGGTGCATCACTGGTAGCCAGTCGGGTGTCATGTTCCTTGACATGCAGGGTTCAAACACAGGGTTCACGATAGGTTTATCGTCACGTGCATCTCGAGTGTGGCCAAGCGAAAGTATTCAGGACTACGTCTTCAGGCGTGATGCCGTGGTTGAGCTGCTGTAGACGGGCAGTGCGTTTCAGCGCACCGCGTTGGGTGATGGAGCACATTTGAATGAAGTTCAATACTCCCGTTATTCACGTGGTACAGCTAACCGAGCCTGTGGACGAACGCAGCCCTCTTGAAGACATGATCACCCTTCTCAAGTATGACCTCCGCATCAGCTTTCAGCTTCTCTGCAAACATATCAGCGAGCATGCCAGGCGTTACTACTAGAGTCTCAGCGGCACCTTCTGCCAGCGCCCCGGACCTAAGCCACCATCACCCCATGCCTCTGACACTTACAGCCCGTCAACCCACACTCTACCCTTCGCCGTTCAGGTAGCTGCGAAGCGACGGGGGTTTTACACCGAAGTAGAAAGAAGTGTTGTTGCGGTAGAAGGACGAGTGACAATTCGTCAGAATGCCGGCGACCGCATACTGTTTACCAAGCCCGCAAGCGCTGAGCGCCACCTGCTGCTTCTTGGCATAGTCAACGTACGGCCAGAGGGCCACGATTTTTCCGAACCCCCATTCAACCGAGACTCTGACGGAGCTCATTGCGGTGTTGAAGGTCTGTTCGAAGGCGTTTAAAACCCCCTTGTACGGCGCCAGCAACCAGGGCGAAAGGCTGTACGCAGGGTCGCCGAATACGTAGTAAGGGGTGCCTGCTGCNGTCATCCTGTTTACCAAGCCCGTAAGCGCTGAGCGCCACCTACTGCTTCTTGGCATAGTCAACGTACGGCCAGAGGGCCACGATTTTTCCGAACCCCCATTCAACCGAGACTCTGACGGAGCTCATTGCGGTGTTGAAGGTCTGTTCGAAGGCGTTTAAAACCCCCTTGTACGGCGCCAGCAACCAGGGCGAAAGGCTGTACGCAGGGTCGCCGAATACGTAGTAAGGGGTGCCTGCTGCGTCGTTGAACCACTGCTGCAGATCTTGCAGCAGACCACTTTCCCCTACCATGGCGACATCGTGGCGACGCCCGAGTATGGGACCCCAAAGCATGCGAATTATCCCATCGGGGGTGTCGATCGCTTGATACTTCAACGCGTGCTTTCGCTTCCAACCATTGTACCACAATCTCTGATTACGCTTAGGTCGCGAGATCGCGCGAATAGTGCCGTCGATAAAGCCCCAACAACGCGTGAGCGGGGCACCTTTCTCATGAATTGCCTGACAGAACATATCTATCTTTGATAGAATTGCATCATGTTGCAGCTGGTTTACCAGGTGACCCCAGCGATCAAAGATCGCTTCGATGGTGAGGTTGAAGATATCGCATATCATCTGTTCCGCTATCCCCCAAAAGAGCCGGTCCCGGATCAGCGTCGTCGGACATAGGGGGGCGCCAGGGGGGCGCCAGATCGTCACCGCCAGCGCAAGGTCGATAGGAACCCTGGAAACTCCAAACCCTCCCCTGTTGACCGAACAGACACAAGGAGCAAAGTCATGTTCCATTGCTGCCGTCAGTTTCGGTGCTATAGGGCGAAAACGGGCGGGGGGAGAAGTACCACGCGTGGTGAACGCATGGAGAGTGCGGTGACTATATGTGCTACACGTGTAGACTGCTGTAGTACAGCAGGTATGACCTCAAAAACACATTTCAAAAATCAATAGTCTAGACTACTGCTGTATCAACTGCTTCGCTATCATTGATGCTGTCTGAAACTATGTGCACCTCCGTGATACTCAGGACACGGGTATGATTCCTACGTGCTGAGATGAGAAGCCTGTCCACAGCAGTAGCACAACCCCGACGCGCCCTGCCCGTCGCATACAGCAACTACCGCAGAGTTCTCAAACGTACACGACTCCGACTGACCTGTGAATTTCGATCTCCTCAGGGAGCTGCAGCTCGTGCAGCAGCTCGCGGAAGTGAGGCTTCTCGAACCTAAAGAGCTCCTTAAAGTCCAAGCCTCCAATTGCATCGAAGAAATTGTACATCGGGCACACACCCTCCAGGATCGTTGGGGCTATCAGTTCTTCATACGCCTCCAGCTTTGCTAGGNAGAGTTCTCAAACGCACACGACTCCGACTGACCTGTGAATTTCGATCTCCTCAGGGAGCTGCAGCTCGTGCAGCAGCTCGCGGAAGTGAGGCTTCTTGAACCTAAAGAGCTCCTTAAGTCCAAGCCTCTAATTGCATCGAAGCAATTCTACATCGGGCACACACCCTCCAGGATCGTTGGGGCCATCAGTTCTTCATACGCCTCCAGCTTTGCTAGGCCAAACATGGCCATCACGAGGAACATGTCCTCCTCTCCAGCTAGCGCACACAACACAGCAAGCAGAAGAACCAGCATGCACTCATCATACCGCTCGTAGCGGATTCTGCCTCGCGCAAGGCGCGCCATCCCCTCGCTCCGTGTCGGATGCGGCGATGAGGGAGCGCGACCGTTGGGTTTCCCGGCGGTGCAGCGATGCAGCTGGGGTTGAATTTTTTGGAACTTGAGGCTNGATGCAAGGCGCGCCATCTCCTCGCTCCGTGTCGGGTGCGGTGATGAGGGAGCGCGACCTTTGGGTTTCCCGGCGGTGCAGCGGTGCAGCTGGGGTTGAATTTTTTTTACCTTGAGGCTGCGCCGCTGCTGGCCTTCGCCAGGCAACGTGCGGCGGAATATTTTTTCGTGTCAATTTACCAACCGGTACCTATTTTCGTGTCAATTTGCCAACCAACCGTCACTTTTTTTCGTGTCAATCTATCTCAGTCCAAAATTTTCGTGTCAATTTAACGTGGGAACCCAGGATTGTCGGTGAGTCGTCACCCATGCAACGGTTCGAAATTTCCCAGCTTCCGGGGGCGATCTCCCACGCTATTTGCCAAATAAATGTGTACCGCTTCTATGCAAGCATAAATCGGCTTCTAGGAAGTTGGATCTACTTCCATAGAAGCTGATACCAGTTCCATGAAAGCTGCAAGTTTCGCACGGCCATGGAAGTGTCGCTTCGCGCTTCCATGGAAGCGATATTCACTTCCATGCAACTAATGATATGAAATATGGATGTGCCACTTCCATGAAAGTTTATTTCCACGGGAGTCCCATGGAAACCCTATGGAAGTTGAATAGCTTCCACGGAATTCGAACCTTGGGCTTCCATGGAAGCATTCAAAACAGGTTTAGGGCAGCTTCCATGGAAGTATTCAACCTCAAGTCAGCTTCCACGGTCTTATCGGGGTTAGGGTTAGGGTTAGGGTAAGGAAGCGCGAATGACTGTATGTCCAGACGCTTCCGTGTTGGTGCTTTGGGTTTAGGGTTAGGGTAAGGGTTGAAGATGGAATGACCACACGTTCAGACGCTTCGTTCGGTGGAAGTTGCTTTCATGGAAGTTTTCGTGCTTCCATAGAAGTAGCCGAAACTCCGTCAGGCGACGAGTTTCCTGTAGTACTTGCATGGAAGCTCGTCGCGCTTCCGTGGAAGTCCGAAATGGAAGCAACGAGCGGTTGGTTGATGCCAGGCGCTTCCATGGAAGCGGATCAACTTCCATGGAAGCGGATTGACTTTCATGGAAGTTGTTTACCGCTTCCATGGAAGGACCATGGAAGCTGGAACCCGAAACAGACTAACAGATTCCATGGAAGCCATCTAACATAGGGGGGGGGGGGGGGNTGTGCTTACTTCCTTGCGTACGGATGACAGCTGCGTATGACTTAATGTATTTTCTGGCGTTTTCACGTCCAGAGACAGTTGCAAGCACTGTGTAACTGCCCCGAGGGTGCTTGACCATTTTAACACAACGTGGTGCGATCATCCCCCTTGCGCGGAGTGAGGGTTCTCGACCCCGCACAACATGATCTACTCGATCACCACTATGGTTACCGCCAAAGAAAAACAGAGGTAAAAAAAAACGGTAGCAACCTGGTTGCCGAGTTCACGAAGTGAATTGGCTTGTTTTACAACGTCGTTGCCAAGCGACCAAAACCCAACCCCGATGGCAAACACCGAGGGGGGGGGGAGGGCTCAAGTATCCGAAAATGCATTGGCGATCATCCTTGCGCTCAGATAACCACACCCGTGGGGCGAAGCGTTCTGAATACAGTCGGCTTGCGCTTAGTAAGCGGAGTACAACAGAGCAGGGGTGATCGACAATTACGCCAATTGCCTACACAACGTGTTTTTCGGGTCGCTGTCTTCCAGTCGAAGTTTAATTCAGCAGGCGTGGCCTTCATGACGAGCTTCGGTCCTTGGGCGGTGTTGCGATCAAACCAAGACATGCCCGAAAAAATAGCTTGGGAAAGGGAAGTGGCGGTTCATTCCACCGTGCGTTCCTCAAGCCTACTGCGCGATTGACGGGGGAGGTCGGATGGGTGTTACGCATCCGGAGGTGGGGGGGCGAGGGGTGAATTGTGCTCACTTGTCCTCTTCGCAATGAGCGAGTTCGAGTCCTCAGCTGCGACATCACAACAACGGGAGACGCAGAATCATTGATGGTGGACCGCAGGGTCTCTTTTCCACGAGATCAGGTTACCGGGTGTTCGCATCTCCAAGACATGAAAGATATTTTACCCGTTGACAGGCTTGGAACGTTAGCTCCCCCCCCATCCGCCACAAACAGCAGATACTTCCAGGTGTCACACCAGCCACGACTATCTACCTTGCATTCGACACCCTCCCCCTCGTTTATGCTCTACAGGTGTCTAGTGACAGACCCAGCAGCAGAAACAACAGGTAGAGGCTACTGTACGACGAGAGGACACAAGACGCTTCCTCGGAAAACGGCGCCCCTCTCGGCTACTGAACATCATGCGCATGAATGTCCACCGTGCAGTCGACGTGGGCCCCACGCTACCGAGAAGATACGGCAACCAACTTGCGCGGAAGCCGCCACAAAAACACTGGATTGGCGAGCGTTCGCGCAACAGGTGGTCCCCCCTTGGTCAACACATGCAGCTAGCACCTTTGCTATCGCCCAACTCATATGCTGCCGGCAGCAACAACGTATCGAGGCGGTCTTGACATACTTGTCATGGCTCTTGCTAGTACACTCAGACCTAGAGCAAGCAAGAGAGAAAACGTCCTTGCCACGGGCACATCGGAATTGAGGAGGCAGAAAACAGGCAAGCAAAACTCGACAAGAATAGCAGACAAGCCGCACATCCAGCAAACCAGCATCCATATATTCAAGGGGGGCCCAGGGCGTGTTCATGCAAAAAAAAGACGGGGTGAAACACAGAGGAAGTCCTCTCGCATACAACTCCATGCTTAGGCGAAGACCAAGACTCAGCTCTCTCGCAAGGTTCCGTCCTGGCACCTGCTTCGGTATCAGCTCTCCAGCCGGCACCATCACCCTACCAGTGGCCACCACCTGGCGCGAAGAATCAAACGACAACCGCAGGCTCGAGAAAAGGACACCGCTCCGACCTCCTCCTGAGCTTAAAACCTGAAAAACAGCAATAGTAGTAATGGAGGGAAATGTAAGAAGATGGCGCTTGGTCACAACACATTTATCAACGGCATTGCGTGGCATCATGCCGCGTTCCCATCTTCCAAAAGTCTGTTGTAACCATCCAACAAAGACCTGGTATGCAAGCGAGTCAGTGGATCTTCATGCCCTTGCCGGTAGCCCAGGCAGTGAATGGCGCCAAAATGAAGGGAATGCGGTTGTTGTTGTTGTTGTTGTTGTTGTTGTTGTTGTTGTTGTTGCTGCTGTTTTCGTCCTATTTATCACGGCGACAGTCCCCCCATTTTTCGTGGTGAGACGTGTTCTACACTTGCAGTGTGTAGAGTGATTACTACACTTTTGAGTGAACTTTTCGTACCAATACAACCATCCAGGGTCACACAGGAGGGGTAAACATCTGGGTTTTCTTCTGTTTTATTTTGTTTTCGTTCCCCATTTTCATCCTGCCGTGCGTGCTGAATTTTGTTTTTAGTATCGCGAGAAGGGTCCAGCCGTCCCTTTCCCTTGTCGACGGTTCTAACGTCGTTGTTTGTAATCACGAGAGCTTTTCAGCTTTTGTTCGCTTTTACCTGCAAAGTTGTCATTCGATCATCCCGTGGGGATACGAACTCACGACTCTGCCAACACCAGCCGTTTCGAGGTTACCACTAGACCACCGGGGCGAGTTGCTTTGCAAAAATTCAGTTTTCGTTCCAAGAAAAACCACAGTCTTGACTGTACGCAAAGTCGACTTGACGCATCCGCAACCCTCCTGAACGGCATGCCCAGCTACAGCACGACCACAGTAGTTCCGTCGCAGACTGTTGGATATCGGCCACGAGCACATCACAGCACACTACCGAGGCCACGAGGAGAGCAAAATAATGGTTGACTCTCGTTTCTGAAGCGCGAAAGCGATCTCGGGCAACCGGAATGATCGACCCTGACAGAGCAACTGCTGTAGGTTTTCTTGTTCAGCGCCCACCGTTCAAAACCTTCGATCGTTGTGCACCTCCAGCGGGAATGTTTCCAGTTCATGGAATGCGAAACCATTAATCCATCCGCTGAGCGAAACGTTACACACGGTAGCATCATGTACATGTGAACCAAACCAAAACTAACTGTGTCTGGCCAAGTCGTTCAATCCCCTGTTTGCCAAGACCAAGGAAGTGGCGATGCCAAGCAATCGAGGAAAACATTTCCGCAAGTCCCATGCTTGTGCACGACAGTGCGTCCGACAACGCACGAGAACACGTCGTCCATTTTCGCCTTGTTGGCGACGAAACCACCATCAGCCCCACGGCCAGACTCTCACCTCACAGAAAGCCCACCACCAAGCGGAACAACCCATCAACCTCCAGTCCGATCAGCCGACCGACCAAATCCTCCAGTCGGACATCAATTGGTCTTCTGTCTACATATCATTCCCATCCGAGTCGTCGACGCTGACCCTCGCCACTTTGGAGCTGCTGCCGCTGCTGCTGCTGCTGCTTCTGCAGGCGATGTGCACCCTGGTCGGGCAGGAACGGCTCAACACTAGCCAGTCGCGGCGATGCCATGACCTGTCGGCCGCGGCGCGCGCCAGCACGGGCCGAATGCGCTGGTTGTCGGCCTCGATTTCCTCGTCGTTGCGATCTTCATCTCCCCACACTCCTATCACGTCTGCAGGCGTGTCTACCCTATTTTTCTTCAGCATCTCATCTGCTCCCCAACGCAGCAGAAGCTCCACACCAGAAAGATCCCCCCACATGCAAGCGACATGCAGTGGCGTCTGATTGCAGTCGTCACGCACATTGACATCCGCCCATCCCTCCAACAGCGCGCGGATCGTGCAGATCGATGCCATCGGACGACTCACGGCGACATGGAGAGGCGTGAAGATATCATCGCTGACGTGGGCGTCGTTCTTCACGTTGACGTCAGCCCCAGCTTCCAGAAGTGCACGGACAGCATCGCCGTTATCATGGACAGGTCTGTCAAAATAAGCAGCACAGTGCAGGGCTGTCCATCCGCGATTATCGGTGGCATCGACTTCACGGCTGTCTTTGTCGAGGAAGGCTTTCAACATGCCGCTTTACCCCTGCTTGCAGCAGCCTGAAGCGGAGAACGATAGCTCATGGTAAGAATGCTTTGGTCGGCACCGGCAGCTAGAAGCTCTTGGATAGCCCCGAGGTGGTTGTTTGCTGCCGCCTTGAACAGTGGCGTTTCACCTTTCCCATCATCCACGTCCCTGTCTGCACCGCCCATCAAAAGCTCAGAGATACATAGCGTATGACCCATGGCAGCAGCGATTTGGCGAGGAGTCTCTAGGAATACATTCCTCGGGGCTGCAGCTTGGGCCTTTTTCCGAAGGAGAAGGATAACTATTACTCGGTGGTGCCCTGCTTCGGCAGCGAGGTGGAGTGGACTATCGCCGTCAGCATTGCCAAGATTTGGGTCTGCTCCGGCCATCACGAGCGCCTTCGAGGCATCATCTGCTCCCCGTGCTACCGTAACGTAGAGAGCGGGTTCACGTGTAGCCCCGAAGCGGGTGTTTACATATTATGTCTCCCCAGCCTCGAGTAAAGCCTGGACCATCACGTCACTTTTGTTGCCGCACGCAGCCGCACCCAGCAGGGTTCGTTCACAGTGACCCAACCCTGCCTGCCTGGTTCCCCGCCGGCACCAGCGTCTATCAACCGTGTGAAGAGATCAAGGTTTCCCTTGGCCGCGGCATGCCCCAGTGGTGTCCGAAGTCACTGCTTCCGTTGCTTCGATGTCGCCTCGTCCTTGACGAGTTTGGAGATCTCCATCTCGAAGCCGTCAACGCGTGACCGGTCTTCGTCGCGTTTCGAAGGTGACATGGACGCCTTGGGTTACGGCAACGGGGGCTTTCTGATAACGTAGTGCTCTCTCCAATTGCAATCTTACACGTGGTGTTGTGTTGCTGCTATAATAGTTCTGGCAGGAGTGGAAGGAGGTAGGCTGAGCGTGGCACAGGCAGCGGTGAGTACTGAGTCAAGTGGGGAGAGTGGCACAGGCAGCGGTGAGTACTGAGTCAAGTGGGGAACGAGTTGACACGACGGAAGCGAAGCGCGGGTACAACACACAACAATTTTGCACACTCTTGAATTTGGGGGCAACGTATTTTGAAACAAAGCAGGCCCAGGCTAGCTTTCATTCTGCGGAGCGCCGCCAGAATCTCGCCAATCTCGCCGCACGTCAGACTTGCTCGTTCTCCACACTGCCACACTGGCTGTTCGCCTGTCTCCCTACTCCGTGCCAGCCCCCTGCTTTGTCCTACAGCCTAACAACAGCAACACAACACCACGCGGAAGATATTTATTGGTAAAGAACGAGGCGTGCATTAGCACCGAGGAACGATCCAATCTGAATACCGATCTCGTGTTGACAGCTTCGAGATGGAGATCTTCAAGGTCGTCCAGGAGGGGGCGACATCGGAGCAACGGAAGGAGTGGCTTCGAGTACCTCCGGAGCATGCCGCGGCCAAAGAAACCTTGATCTATTCACACGGTTGATGGACGCTGGTGCTGATGGTAGCGCAGGCTAACGAGGATGCCATGGACGCACGCTGCTTGGTTCTGCTGCATGGGGCAATGAAAGCGACAAGATGGTCCGGGCTTTGCTCACCGGGGAGGCGAAGGGTGATGTAAACGTCCTCTTCGGGGCTACACGCGAATCCGCTCTCCACGTTGCGGCAGCGCGGGGAGCAGAGGAGGCCTCGAGGGCGCTCATGATGGCCGGAGCAGACCCAAATCGGCGTGATGGGAAGGCTTGCTGCCCGCTCCACCTCGCCGCCGAAGCAGGGCACCATCGACTCACAGGTGTCCTTCTTCGGAAAGAGGCCCGAGCAGATGCGGCGAATGAATTTTAGGAGACTCCTCTCCACCTTGCTGCCTCCAAGGGTCATGCGCTGTGCATCTCCGAGCTCTTGCTGGGGGGCGCAGACAAGGACGCGGTCAATGCTAGAGGTGAAACGCCACTGTTCAAGGCAGCAACCAACAACCACCTCGGGGCTATTGAGCAGCTTCTAGCTGCCGGTGCCGACCACAGCATTCGTACCATCACGCACATTTCCCCACTCGAGATTCTTGCAACCAGAGGAGACGCGACCATCTTGAAGGCCTTTCTTGACAAAGACAGTAGCCATGTTCATGCCACCGATTGTCTAGGACCCAGTGGCCTTCACCATGCTGCTTGTGTTGACTGAGTACGCACGGGTAATTTTAAAACACTTATTCAAACGGTTGAGTGCACATGAGTAAAATTGAAATACTTACTCAAAAGGTTTAGTACACACGCGTATGTTTTAAATATACTTACTCAAGGGCAATACTCAAAGTTGAGTATTTACTGACAAAATTCTTGAGTATGAGTATACTTTATTTAACACACCCTTGGAGTTTTTATCGATTTCTTCGCGTCGCCGCTCCCTTGGCCTTGGCATACAGGGGATTGATGCAATTTGCCCAACGTTGTGTTGGTTTGCTACACGTGTAAAGCAATCGTGTGTAACTTTTCGCCCAGCGGATGGGTTAATAATTTCGAATTCCATGTACTACTGGGTAACAATCGTACTGGGGCGCGCAACGAACGAGGGTTTTGAACAGTGGCGGAACAAGATGTGTCTAGCATTGTAACGGCCGGTTATTTGTCGGTTGGCCCGAGATCGTGTTCGTGTTTCGGCAACAAGAGCCAACTAACTCCTGCTGTGTCATCCTCGTGGTGTCGGTTGTGTGCTGTGATGTGCTCTTGGCGGATGTCGAACAGCCTGCAAGGGAACACTATTGTGCTCGTCCTTATAGCTGGGCATGCCGTACTGGGGTCTAGCGGATGCGTCAAGTCGACCCCCCGTACAGTCTAGACTGTGGTATTCCGCATTGCTACACTCGCACTCCTTGCCTTTTGACACCATCCACGGCCTGGGCTGCTGCAAGGGGCATGTAGGTTCTCTGTCCTCTGTTCCTCTTGCGTGCTTCGGAAGACGGAATGATCCCACGCAATGCCATTGACGGGTGTGTCCTGACGAAGCGTCATCTTCTTGGCTTTCTCCTCCATGACTACTGTTGTTGTTCAGGTTTCACGCACAAGAAGAGGTCGAGGCGGCGTCCTTTTCTCGAGCGTACCGTAGCTATGTGACTCTTTGCGCCAGGTGGTGGCCACTGAAGTGTATTGATGGTGACGATGCCGGCTAGAAAGTTGGCATAGGAGGTGTGCCAGTACTGAATCCTAGTAGAGAGCTGAATCTTGGTCGTCGCCTAAGGATGGAGTCGTGTGCGAGAGGGCTTCCGCTCTGTCCTACCCCGGCTTCCTTTTTTTTGCTTGAACGCGCCCGCAGGCCCCCCGGAAATAAGCCCCTGGTTTGCTGGATGTGAGATTTGTCTGCCATTCTTGTCGAGCTTTTTCTTGCTCTTTTCTGTGCCCTCATTTCCGTTGCGCCTGTGATTAGGACGTTCTCTCTCTTGCTTTCTCTAGGCCCGTGTGTACAAGCGAAAGGTGCGAGGAGTTCGTCACTCAAGCGTTTGACCCATATGTTGATGCCGTCGGCAGCATATGAGCCGCGTGGCAAAGGCGTTTCATAGTTCCATGTGTTGACCAATGGGGTACCACCTGTCACGCGGACCCGCGCCAATCACATGTTTTTGTGGCGGCTCCCCCGCAAGTGGTTTGCCGTGTCTTCTGGGTAGCTTGGGGCGTTCGTCGACCGTTGGGCATTCATGCACATGGCGTTTGTCAGCTGAGAGGGGCGTATTTTTTTGGGGAACCTCTATTTCCATTTGTCGCAGTATCTTATATCTATTGTTTCTGCTGCTGGGTCTGTCGCAAGACACCTGTAGACCGTAGATGACATGAGTTTGTGGGGGAGGAGGGTGTTGAATGTAAGGTAGACACGTCGTGCTTGTGGGATACCCGAAAGCATCGTGTATACGCTGTTCGTGGCGGATGGGGGGGGCACTGGCTTTTCCAAGCGTGTCAATGGGTAATAGATTTTGATGTCTTGGTGTGGTGACGCGTCTATGTGTAGCCGGCTTGTGCCCCTGGTACGCAGAGTACAATAGAGCAGGGGCGATCAAGTTTTACGCCAATTGCCTACACAGCATGGGTTGTCGTCATGTTGCAATCCAACTTTGATACATAGGGACGGCCTTCATGACGAGCGTCGGTCCTTGGAGTGATGCAACCAAACCGAGACACGCCCGAGAAAATAGCTCGGGGACGGGGAGTACCTGTTTCTACCACCGTGCGTTCTGCAAGCCCCCCTCCGCGATTGACGGGGAAAGGCGGATGATTGCGGCGCATCTCGCGGGGGGGAGGGGTGAACTGTGCAATGTGCTCTTCGCAGTGAGCGACTTGGAGTCAGGCATCACTACGACGGGCGACGCAGAAGCATTGATGGTAAACTGCAGGGTCTCTCTCAATCCACATGGGGCAGGTTGCCAGGTGTTCGCACCAGTATTTAAACAAACTTGGTAGCTTTCCTCCAAATTCTGCGAAGGATACGTTCAACACACGTATGCCCACTGATCAAAAGTCGGGGTCCGCCGGGGGGGG